TTTAGCGAATCTGCTAGGATATGACGTTATTTATCAAATGTAAATGATTAGGAAATAAATATGAAATCAAGGTCCTATCAGATAATACGTTTACATCAACATCCTTAATGAGGTACTTGAGTTTCTCTGATAGATAAAATTATAATCACTGCCTACCGTCCGCCTACAAATTGCCTTCGATACCTACATAGATTTAAGAGTGTAAGGTCACTGACTCATACTAATTAATTGTACCAACGTTTTTTTAATCGTAAATTATTATAGGCATTTACGCATGCATCGTTGAATGATGTTATCTTTTAGAAAATCTTATACTTTATAGACTATGCTATCTTTTATGTGAATCTTGTCAAATGTTGTCGCATTGCGTGCATCTTACCATTAGTCAACGTCACAGGACATCATTTAATCTGTCGACCTATTCAAAATAAAGAACAAAAATATATTCTGCCTCGCAATGTTTTATTTAACTGAGCAACAATAATAAGAAAGGTGAAAATTTAAACGCCATTCTTTACGGACATCTATATAATATTTGTATTAGGAACATTATTTGATTGATAATAACATCCCATTGTTTTATGTCATATCAATAAAAGTTATTTAGAAATAATAGAATCGACTTTAAATGCCCAAGAATATTATTTGCCTAGCTGCCATATTTTATATGTAATACCTTCCAAAACTGCGTCACTTCGCAAAAGTGACTGAACCGATTTTGACGAAAATGTAACTGTTCCCTATGGTGGAATATACCTGATTTAGTACTTACGAACTTATGTTACTTTAATTTATATACTTACGATATTTAACACACGTTCTTGGGTGAATTAATTAGCATTATACTAAAATATCAAATTCCAACAATATCATATGCAGTCAAACTGATTACCTATGCTTTTAAAGTCAATTAAAAAATTGAGGGTTTTGGTTCTTGAAAAAACGCTGTATTGCTGCTGTAACGTAGCTACGTTATCTTGTAATGTTAAAAAGGGTAAACTAGGCCCGACGTCGAAGATACTCGCAATACTTTTTTCTCACAAATTAATTGCGTACAATAACACGAGGCAGGTGTATGTTTGTTTTATTTGTAGGATGTGGAGTGACATTGTTCAGCCGGTTATTAATTGTAATCATACCTGTATGTAAACTCTAGTTTTTTGACAGACCACTCGTGGAATCCCGATGACATTCCCGATGCCAAGTACAAACTAAATAATTATTATGCTACTTGAATTCCATTACTTCATTCGTTAAGTTCACACGGTGTATTTTTTGTGATGTTAGTAATATAAAATTCAAATATTCGAGTTTTTTACCATCGGTTAGGGTAAGATAAAAAGATACAATTAAAATAATGTATCCAAAACACGTTATAAACTTGTTATACCTAAGTAACGAATTAGTTACTTCACAGCTTGCGTGTTTAATTTTCATATTAAATCTAGTTTGGTCATTAAAACATTAATTAATTTTATTAACGTAGACAAGGAAATCTTACGTACGTAATCAAATTATTGCTTTTCCATTACGTAAAGATTTATGTATTTCATGATTAGTGCGAAAACGTGTAAATAGAAATGACCTAGAACTTGGGTATCAGCTGCTAGCCTCGACAAATCGGATTAGCATTTAGGTCTGATTATGTGCGTTCATAACCTTGGGCGAACATCCCTCTCTATTTCAAAGAACTTATCAAGTCACCAATAATAATAAGGATCGTCAGGACAGTTGTATAATTAAAAAAATCTAACTGTCTTAATGAAAGTGGTAAACAATGTTATCTCATTCACTCGAAGATTATGTAGTATTATCTAAAGGAACTAGGGGAAATGTTACACGAAAGAAACTTAGTAATTGAATCGATAGTTTCCGTCACCCGGTACATGTTGACGCAGTTACAAACTCTGCTAATGTTAAACGTAATTATCATGCTAAACCAGAAATCACTGTGATTATTTCTTGCTATTTATTTCGAGCATATATGGCAATCATTTAAAATACTTTTTATAGTGTTGTTTTTATCGTGTGTTTAGAAAGGAATAATAGATTACGGTATAAATAAATGCCATGGAGCATAAAAGGGTTTATGCTTAGACAATTAAGTCTTATATGGTATGGATTTGTTTCAACTACGTGGCTATCTTAGTTTATACCTAAGCCAGAACATAGACTATGGACTCGTATATATACTATACTAAGTATGTTACGTTTGCGTACCTAAGGTATTTTATTTACGTCATTATAGTTCTTTATGATATATTCATTTGATCGCAATTGAATTTTTATTTTGAATACTGCTACACTCCACGTTTTTAATGGTAATCATGCAACACAACAATAACGTAATTAATTCAGGTAAATGGCTTTTAAAATTAATTTAAATATAACAAAAATTCAGCTATGAATTGTTTGCTGTTAACTATATATTGTACCAATATTACGAAAACTTTGTGGGTTACTAAAACTGTATGCGTAACTGCTACTACGATATCATCGTTTACAATATCATATATAATATTACAAAGTAGAGCATTACATTATTATAACGGTGTGACGATTATTTATCTATATACTCAAAAAAAAATTAAAACGCTACTATTTTTCATCATTGAATATATATATATATATACGTATTTTAACTCATTTTAAATATTTATATCAGGTAGAAACCTATTTTGTTTTGTTTTAAATAAGTGGGCAATGTGGATTAAACCTTCACTGGTAAAGCTAACGTCTGCGATTTTGCACAGATACAATATGAATTAAAACTTCATATTCTCTCTGAAGGTCGCTTTCAATTAAGTGAATGTATAAAACTAAATAAAAATACATGAAAGATACTCCAGACCAGCGATTTACGATCCTAAAGACGAATGTTTAAACCCGAACTTTGACTAATGGCTTTCTTTCATGATGAACACTTGCGTGTACGGAAAGGAAAACGTAAGGAAATCGCTGATATACAAAAAGACGGAACGATATAAAGACAAACCATCGATGCATACAGAAATTTGAGGTCAATACCGATAATCGGTATTGTATTATAAAAAGAAAATAGTATTTTAACGAGAACTTCTATAATATAGAACAACCTATACGCGATAACACGTGATTCTGACGAGAAACGTGTTGATATCTTGGAAATGACACAATCTATCCGGGGTTTATCTATCTGTTGATAGATATTTCAAACATGTACTTTGTTAATACATTTGCTCACGTCTCAGAAATTACTGCGAATCGTAGCTAATCTTAAGGTAATTAAGCGACTCTCTTTTCTCTAAAAAATCATGTAAATAGTACCCAATTAAGATTTTCGTACATTACAGATTGATCAGTCTCATTCTAGATTTAAATTTAAAAAAAGGCCTATACTCTCACTACTACTTTAAATCAGTCAGAAACTCAATTAATATTAGATATATGACTCCGTTATAATAATAAAATATAAAATATTTTGTTTAAATTAAATACACATTGTATTTATAACACTCACAAAATGAGACGTTGCGGTCGTTGTGAAATTATTTAAATTTTGTTTGGCAATAGGATTAGCTGCATAAACCAGTTGGTACAAGCATATTTTGATAGCAAAATAATAATGAAATAAATTGTTGATAGTCGTTCACTCAGCATATCGTTATGTAAGGCCGGGTCCACATTTGTAGCATGTTGACGTATCACGATCAGTCGTATCGTATCTAGTATCTGTATCATAAATATGGACGCTCATTTTGTCCATGTCGTATATTTAAGGCGTATCTTGTAAAAAACGCGTCCATACTTATCAAATGCTGTATCATGTCAGTGTATCGGCTTTAACTTTACAAATATAGACGCTTCACTTTTCTTCCGATGTATCATGATGCGCGTGTCTTTCAGTGCACCTTTCCCTTCTCGTAATGTTCAGTCATGTCTTCGTTCCCAAACGGTTTAGCCATGTCAGCTCACAGTTTGGCGGTGACTAGCGCCTGTTATATTATCATTAATAGTATTTCAAAAAAAGTTAAATCTAGACGTAGATGGCGCTGGAAGTGTTTAGAAACCGAAACAAACATGGTGGAAAACCATTGATGCGAGATTTAAAATTTCAGCATACCAGCGGAAAATACAAAAAATTCACTCGCATGTCACCCATTGATGTTGTGTATTCCCTTTGATGATCGCGAAAAAACCGACACAGGATGGTTCGCGGTGTATCAAGTATCGTATCGCGATACAGTATCGTGATACAGTATCAAAATACGTCCATACCACCGATCGTGATACGCGTATCTGATACGAGGTGTATCAAGATACGCGCTTAGTGCGGATCGGGCCGTATCCGATACGGCATGTATCATAAACGGGTATCATTTTGCGTCCAAACTAACGATCATGATACGCGCCGAAGCCACGCAACGGAGATACGATACACCGAAATGCTACAAATGTGGACCCGGCTTTAGGCATAAGATACAAGGAAAAAAACTACCGACATTTTTATAAGAACAATCATAGACTCACACGCTTAGATGTTACTTTAAATCCTATTGTTACATATAGTACAAAGTAGGAAATTTAGGTAAGTCAATTTCTTTAAATCATATTAAATTATATAGACTTAAGCCGGGTCCACATTTGTAGCATTTCGGTGTATCGTATCTCCGTTGCGTGGCTTCGGCGCGTATCATGATCGTTAGTTTGGACGCAACATGATACCCGTTCATGATACATGCCGTATCGGATACGGCCCGATCCGCACTAAGCGCGTATCTTGATACACCTCGTATCCGATACGCGTATCACGATCGGTGGTATGGACGTATTTTGATACTGTATCACGATACTGTATCGCGATACGATACTTGATACACCGCGAACCATCCTGTGTCGGTTTTTTCGCGATCATCAAAGGGAATACACATCGTATCGAACAAGTTTAGACTTGAATGCAGTGAAATAAACATTGTTGAGCTAAGTGTAGTAGTTGTTAGTTGTAGTGAAAGAGGATAAAAATGAGCTGGGATAACGAAAGTGTTATAAAACTTATCGATGCCTATAAAAGAAAAGAGCTGTTATGGGATCCCAAGCAGAAGAATTACTTCAACAAACTGTTGAAAAAAGACGCTTGGGATGAACTGGAGGTAGAGTTACAACGTCCTTTGGAACAAATTAAAAAGAAGATGGATTACTTGTTGGCGGCCCTTCGGCGAGAAAAACAAAAAATTACAAAAACAAAAACTACGGGTCAAGGTTAGTATTTTTATTGAATTATATAGGTACCCTCTTATTTTGCTTACGTCTATTTTAATTACTTACTACACAATTACCTACTTCCTACACAGTTAATTACAAAACAATTGACTTATTTTAGTAAAAATTTCTTCTAATTTATTTTATTACAGGTTCTGATGAAGTGTACCGATCATCCTGGTTTGCTTACCCACATATGTTGTTTCTTCTCGACAGAAACAAGCCACGAGACAGAATTAATACCGTAAGTATAGCTTTAACTTACTAGGTTGACAAATTAATTAACTGTATTAATAAAATAAGCATTTAAAGTGATTTCCCAACGGTCAAGTGTCATTTCTGCTGCAAAATAGTACCTATTTAACCTACCTATGCATCATTTTGCCATGGTAATGTTCTTACATTATAACAATATTCAGCAATTTGGTCTCTCATATTTACCGCTGTTAATGTTGGTCTACGAGGAGTATTCGTTATTGGCAAAAACGATGTTGTGGCGGTATTATCCACCCTCCATCTTCCGGGTACTATTGTGCCTTCTATCTCTGTATCAAATGTACCTCTCGGCGTATACGTATTAACAGAATTTGGGCTTCTCCGTAGAAAATTATGAAGGTGGCATATAGTCATCACTATCAACTGAGCCTTTTCAGGTTCAAGCAGCAATGGTTTCCTTAAAAGTCTAAAAACACTTGACAGAATACCAAAAGTATTTTCTACAACCCTGCGTGCTCTTGAAAGCCTATAGTTAAATACACGTTTCATTGACCCTTTGGCATGTTGCCCTGAATAGGGTTTCATAATATAGTTGCTTAAAGGAAATGCACTATCAGCAACAAAGTAATTTGGAACAATGTAATCTGTTCCTTCTAATGCCTTCGGGGGTGGAAGATTCAATGAGTCGTTATCAATTTTTGTCTTCAATACGGAATTATTAAATACCCCACCATCTGAAATCCTTCCTTGACACCCAACATCCACAAATAAAAAGTTGTAGGAGGCATCCACAAGAGCAAACATAACGATACTGAAAAAGTCTTTGTAGTTAAAAAACTCAGATCCAGAATTAAAAGGAGCCTGCAACGTGATATGCTTTCCATCCATTGCACCAACTGCGTTTGGTAGGTTCCACATATTCAGAAATTCTGCGCTGATTTGTTCCCATTTATGAGGCGTGTTCGGTAACTGTAACAAACATCAGAATATTAAATTAAATTAATGTTGTTATTGATAATTACAGGAAGATTTAATTGAGGACAATGAAAAAGTACTCGACGATGGATCTGAAGTATCAGCGGAGGAAGGAATCGGGAACCAAGCACATGTGAACGAGGTACCTGAGACTCCCGAGAGTCAACTAGATGAGAGCCAAGTGACTATGACGCAAGAGTCCAGGAACCCAGCGTCTGCAGCGACAAAATTCAAGCATCCTGTACCAATAAAAAAGGCAAAAAAAGTGTGTTGCAAAATGACCCAATCCTAAGTGAAGCATTGCAATTGATGAGGTCTTCAGCACAAGCTGCCACTGCTACTCTTGCCAGTACTGCTTCATCTGCAGCTGTTGCACCAGATCAATATCAAATTTACGCAAATTATTTAGCGTCCAAATTTCGAACTTATACAGCCACTACTTACATGGCTGTTGAACACCAGATAAACAACATATTGTTTTCTGCTGATAGAGGAGAGTTTGACTGGGAAAGAGGTTATTTAACCGACTCCAACTCCAGTCAAGCGTCTACACCGGCTTCAACGCCAAATCAGAACGTTGCTAATTCTGAAAAGTCGCAACATTCTGATGATTTTAGTGACCTTGTAAGATTTAATAACCTGTAATGTTCTTTTACTTTAATAATAAAATATGGCTTACCTTTATTTGTTGTTTTAATACATTGAGAATAGCTTGACAAGTCTCTGGTACTATTAGACTAATTGCTTGCTTCGATACTCTGAAAGTATATTGCAAACTTGTAAAAGAATCCCCACTTGCGAGGAATCTTAGAGTAATACTAAGTCTTTCTTTCACTGAAATCGCGTTTCTAAATTTGGTATCAGTTTTTTTAATCACTGGGCCAATCATGTTTATTAAATACTCAACATCAATGGGTGACATGCGAGTGAAGTTTTTGTATTTTCCACTGGTATGCTGAAATTTTAAATCTCGCATCAATGGTATTCCACCATGTTTGTTTCGGTTTCTAAACACTTCAAGCTCCCACCAGCGCCGTCTACGTCTGGATTTAACTTTTTTTGAAATACTATTAATTATAATATAACAGGCGCAAGTCACCGCCAAATTGTGAGCAATTGCTGGCATGGCTAAACCGTTTGGGAACGAAGACATGACTGAACCGTACGAGAAGGGAAAGGTGCACTGAAAGACACGCGTATCAGGATACATCGGAAGAAAAGTGAAGCGTCTATATTTGTAAAGTTAAAGCCGATACATCGACATGATACAGCATTCGATAAGTATGGACGCGTTTTTTACATGATACGCCTTAAATATACGACATGGACAAAATGAGCGTCCATATTTATGATACAAACACTAGATACGATACGAGTGATCGTGATACGTCAACATGCTACAAATGTGGACCCGGCTTTATAGACTTGACTTGACTTGATTACTTGACAACTCTTAAAGAAGTCTGGCAAAGAATGTTTAATATATAGATTGGGTAGGAATAGGCTGTTATGGCCATAAAATATGTAGTTTTTTTTGTTTGTTTGCTTATATTCATGCCTAGTGTACATTGTATGTACTAAGAGTAAAATATACAAAAAATAAATCAGTGGCGCTACAACCTTTGTAGGTCTGGATTTCTGTATCTGTTTCATGATCATTTGTCAATGTTATAGGCAAGTAGGTAATCAGCCTCCAGTGTCTGCACGCCGTCGACTTTTTGGGTCTAAGGCAAGCCGGTTTCCTCAAGATGCTTTCCTTCACCATTCGATCGAATGTAAAATGCGCACATAGAAAGAAAGTCCATTGGTGCACTGGCGGGGATGAACCAACGACCTCAGTGATGAGAGTCGCACGCTGAAGCCACTAGGCCAACACTACTGTGTACTAAGAATGCCTTTAATATATTAATATTTAAATTATAATGGAATAAATGAGGATGTACGATTGTTTTACATTTCTTACTTATTTCTTCGAAAATATAGCTTATAATAATAAGCGAGAATTCAACATACATATTTAATATTTCAAGTTCACAAAACTAGTGCCTTATACAAAATAGTCTCTTGATAAATTATGGCAGTAATAACATTTTTATTCATGCCATTTAATATTCAATTAACCAATTTTATAGATGCTATAGCTTTCTAAAGTTTTAATCGCCAGCTTCTTATGTCAGATTAATTTATGTCTGATTATATTTACATTACGAGTCTCTATTAGAAAATTCAATATCAGTTGAGTAATCAGTGGCCAACAGTATTAAAGTTATTTAGAAACTTAGTCCATTATTGCGATTTATTTATGTCAGTGGAAGAAATTTCGGAAATAATTAATGAAAATATTTTTATTTTTAGTTATATAAATATAAATACCAGGTGACCCGGCAAACGTTTTTTTCGATGTACCTACCTATAGGTATTATTGCTAGGAAACATATTCAATAAAAACTATCTACAATAATAAAAAATAGGGGTTGATCGTAGAGGGGTGAAAATTAGGGGTTGTATGTATTTTTGTATGATGTATCATAAAAAAAAACAAAAAAAAACATTATTTAGGGGTGGACACCGCTTATCACTTAGAAAGATAGATAGTAGCCAATTCTCAGACTTACTGAATACGAATATTAAATTTCATAAGAATCGGTTGAGCGGTTTCGGAGGAGTATAGGAACGAACATTGTGACACGAGAATTTAATATATTAGATAAGTATTTTCTTGGTGTAGGACTTCGTTTTAACACCTAACACCTTTACTAACAATAGTTCGATATGTCTAATGGTTAATTCCTCTATTAGCCTTCATAGTAGAAATGAACTAGGTAAATTTTATTACTTTATCCGTCATAGACTACTAATCTTTTTTGAATGCACATACTCTATTTTGTAGTACAGTAACCAAAATCTTTGTAATCTCGTAGCACAGCGTACAAGGCATTTACGTTGTGGAGTCTGGTGAGCCAAATATTATTTCTATAACTAAACATTGCAGCGCTGAAATTAAGCCCTTAAGCGCTGAATTAGATTTACGTATCTAGCATGTAAAGCGCTTTAATCGATTCAATCAATTTACAGTATCACAACGAGGACCAAAGAACTACGTATCTTATCTTGCCACAGCACGATTACTTAGTTAGTAAATATCTAGTGTTTCTTAGTTAGTATATAATATTAATAGTTAAGAAATTACTTGAAATTTTAAGTACATTTAACGTGAAAAATCACAAGATCCACGTTTTTTTATGAGGACGATCAAAAAGGAAATGTGGTCCTTATTTTGAATATAATTTAAGTTTAACTTGATAATTACACGAAAAGTCAAAAACCTATTTGTGAATAACAGGTTTGATCCAAAATCTTCTATCCTCTCAAAGCTTTATATGCAGCCTTAACACACTTGGGAAATCCACATTTCCTATCCAAACTTTTCCGACGAGCCATTTAGAGACTCGTTCAGCGTTTTGAGCGCTTTATTACAGCACTTTTTTGTACTACGAGCAATTCCCATTGGGTCGAGCTGCGTACGCTGTGCGCTCGTCAGTATCGCCGCGCGCCTCGAAGTCTACGCTCCTTGAGTTGCAGCCGCTTTCGATCGTCAGCATTGCGTCCGCACCCGCCCTTATCAAAATATTCCCGCATTGAGATCGATCTGCACGTCTCTGTGATAACGTGCCAGTGACGTCATGACTTCAATGTCCTGTTTATAGTGATAGTGTATTCGTGAACGCCGGCTTGTTTTGTTTTTAAATTGATAAGAAGACACATACACCGAGTAAGTATTTATTAATTATTAAACGATACAAATTTATTGAAAGTATCATCTGAGTACCCCAATATTCCTTTAATAAGAAATGCGCAATTGTTACTTTTCATAATCAGTAATTACCTAAATTTATTTTTGCTACAACAGAATTTATAAAAACTATTTTATATTAACTTTGTTACGTCAAATTTAGGAAGTCCATGACTAATTAATTAAAGTTAAATAATAGTGAAACTGTCAGTTAACGAAAATCCTTTCGACGCATCCAGAAATAAACATCAACTTTTAATTAATCTACTAAAATATCTGCTGTAATGCGTGAAACCTCTGTCGGAATCCTTGCATAGTCAGAATATATATTATTATAATTCTCATTCACTAGGACTACACGCATCGCCATAGTTATGCTTAATAGCTGCAATATATATTTATTTACATACAATTTTTTATAGCGTTATATAGTAAAAACGTTCATAAGAAAGACATGCTATAATTTATCTCGAGTAACTGTAGTTTATCCTTAAAGAGCAGATTTCAATCAAATAATTTTATACAATCTAAATAGTTTTGGCTACTTTTATGTCATCTTGACTACAAAACCAGAGACATCTTAAAAGATACATCCGCTTACCGCTGTCCCGAACGAAGCGTTAAAAACATATTTATTTTTGTACCCAAAGACAAACATTACAAGAGTTAAAAAACCAAATCCGTGAAAGCTGCCGAGACATCTAAGTTTATTTAAAAACAGGAAATATCTTATAGTCAACGTAAAAACAAGCATAAAGCAATAAATATAACTTACATGAGATAAATGTACTACAATTCGTAATATCAGCCATTAAGTATGTAAAACTGATTGAAATTGCATTTCTTGCACCTGCGATATTCTTGCTCCATCAGTGTCATCACTGACCAACACTCAAACAATTTTCAAATAACTATCAGTCGTAAGATTCAAATTGAATTGACCATGATCGTGGCGACTCGACCTGTACTTTATATAGTTTTTATTGAAGTCTACATAAACTTAACGATTCCAACCGTTATAAAACTACTTGATTTTATAGTAAAAACCTTTTATCGTTACAATCTTGAATCTCCGCTTTAAGAAAACACCACATTTGTGCTATATTAGTCGTAACATGTTTATTTATCGTTTATCTAAAACAGAAAGTAAATGATCATTTTAGATTGTAATTAATGGCGGTGTCAATAACCAGAGATGTTTTTAAAGCATTACACAATTTATGATGAGTCGCGTGACTGTTGTTGATGTATCTGTAAGTTTTTTACAAGACAGAACTGATTGAGTGCGGCCGACATAGTCAGCGGCGCATATGCGACCTGAATGCCAGTAGACCGTCAAAGACTGCTTGATTCATCAACATTCAGCACTAAGGAGTGCGATATTAATTAGCAAAGTAGCTGTTAATTCTACTGCTCCAAATTTTTAATTAAGGTCTATCGAATCAAAAGAGATTCTTTTCGAGAATTCTATAAGAATCTCAAATTTGTATTATTTTAAGTGAAAGTTTTAAATAGCAGTTTGGTATTATGTTTGTGAACAAATAAAACCCTACTTAGTATGTACGGCTCAGGTACCAAGAACAGTTAAACGCCACGCGGTTCCCAAATCCTATTGTGTATTGGCGCCGGAGCACGGCTTTGCAGCTTAAAAAAAAAAGGTTCCTATTGCCTTAAATGTAGACAGACCTTATTGAACGTTTGCCAGTATATAATCCTATAGTATTGTAATAAAGGCTCATGATCAAAACGAATATTGGCCATATTTTGTATTAAGTTGAAATTCATAAAAGCAGAGAACAGTTTTTACAGCAGTCAAAGTCGCAGTCTACTTCTGGGGGCCTACCATGAGCTTTCTTTAAAAAATCCAGTTGTGGTGCTGAAAGGTTAGGACTAACTACAATAGCATTTTAGCACGTATCCTCGACCTCGTCGTCAAGGTATGAATAAACTGAAACGTATTGGAATCGGAAGACCAACGAAAGAAATATAATTTTGTTTGTGGTTTCTTTTTAAGTCAGTTGTATGTTGTCAATAAGCTCCCAGTAAGAGTTTAAGGTTTTTTTTGAGCACAATTAGCTTTTTATTCCCGGCATAACAAAAAGTGATTCAGTATCGAAATCATTAGCTAATGACTGATTTTAAAATTTTTCAAAAAGCAATATATACCTCGAACGTCTCACGTACTTGTTTGTTAAAAAAAATTGATCCCCAGTACCCAATCTATCGCTATATAGATTTCCAAATGAAGAACATAAATCTTATTTATCATGGATGATCTCCGTGACTTCGTTTATGAGATAAGAACAAAAACAAGGCTTATTTTTGTTTTGGTT